AGAGTATACCCTCCAGTAATTAGTGTATACCTTCCAGTAATTAGTGTATACCCTCCATTAATTAGTGTATACCTTCCAGTAATTAGAATATATCCTCCAGTAATTAGTGTATACCCTCCAGTAATTAGTGTATACCTTCCAGTAATTAGTGTATACCCTCCAGTAATTAGTGTATACCTTCCAGTAATTAGAGTATATCCTCCAGTAATTAGTGTATACCCTCCAGTAATTAGAGTATACCCTCCAGTGATTAGTGTATACCTTCCAGTAATTAGTGTATACCTTCCAGTAATTAGTGTATACCATGCAATAATTACTGTATACCCTCTAGTAATTAGTATACAAAGCAAACCAAGTTATTTTGACAAAGTATACCTCAAATTATTCAGTAGTTTACAATGTTTACACAACGCGTATACACAAAGTTTAACAATTCCTTTTTCAGTCATAATGTCAACTGCAAAATTTAAACCTGTAATCTTTCAAATTTTATACCAGTTGCAAAGTTCAACACCACAATTCCTACACTTTTTAACTTTCTACCAACGGCGAATTTCACCACTGTAATCTTTTGACCTTTCTCTCATCTGCAAAGTAAAACACTGCAATACCTACACCTTCTAACTTTCTATTAATTACAAAGTTTAACACTCCAATCCTTGTACTTCCAGCAAAAAAAAAAAGTTCATCTCTGCAATCCCCACACTTTATAGCTTTCTCTCAGCTACAAGGTTAAAAAACCTAACTTTCTAACTTTCTCTCAGCTACAAGGCTAAAAAATATCTAACTTTCTAACTTTCTCTCAGCTGCAAAATTAAAAAAAATAAAACTCTCTATCTTTCAATGTTTACAAATTTCAACACTACAATTCCTATTCCTCAAAGTCTACCCTCGTATCAATTCTTATCAATTATTACAAGAATGAATGAGAGCAACTATTAAACATTCTAACGGTGATATAATAGGAAACCTCTAGAGATTAAGCCCCTATCCTTCCCAGTGTCAATCTACCTCCAGCCAACTAATCATTTACAGCTCTGGGAATAATATAAGACCAATTATTTTTTTATTAACTAACAAGTAGATTTCTGGGACATACGAATGAGTGTATCTTAAAGGAGGAGTATGCGTATTTAAGGTCGAAGTACGAATTTTAAGGTCAAAGTAAGTATTTTAAGGTCGAAGTACGTATTTTAAGGTCAAAGTACGTATTTTAAGGTCAAAGGACGTATTTTAAGGTCGAAGTACGTAATTTAAGATCAAAGTACGTATTTTAAGGTCAAAGGACGTATTTTAAGATCAAAGTACGTATTTTAAGGTCAAAGTACGTATTTTAAGATCAAAGTACGTATTTTAAGGTCAAAGTACGTATTTTAAGGTCAAAGTACGTATATATATATATATATATATATATATATATATATATATATATATATATATATATATATATATATATATATATAAAGGTCGAAGTGCGGATTTTAAGTTGAAGTAAATAATTTAAGTCTAATGCGTATTTTAAGTTGGAGCATTTGTTCGAAGGTTGTAATGGTCCTGTGTGATTGGTTTAGCAACATTATTACGTCGATGGAAAGCGTTCGTGTGATTGGTCGGATGGCTGGGATGTATTTCGGTTTCCTCGTCTACTTTGTGACGCATTCCATACCTGTTGTATGATTGGTCGGCATGTTTGGAATTTTATTGGCTAAGCTGGTTCATGACGTTTGTTCGAAAGCGTTACCTGTAGAGCTTGGAGTTTGATTGGTTCTGCTGTTTCATGGCGTTTTTCGAAACTGTTATGTGATTGGCTGGTATGCTTGGAATTTTATTGGCTCTGACGCTGCATGAGGTTTCTCCAGGGTTATTTACGATTGGTCTGTTTGATTTATACTTTTATATCATTGGTCAAGCTAATTAGAATTACAGGGTTAAACAAAAATTGCTTTCCATATTATACTGTACTAACTTGTCACTCCTCAAAGTATCCCAATTTCAGCCTGAACTGGGCAGAAAATACCAATTACATCTAGGAGTGACGTCATGTTACAAAATATCACCTAAATAAATTTCTTGTATTTTAAAAACTTAGAATAAATCCCTTTATTTTCAAATTCATATCACCTGTTGCAAATGTCCTAAGAATATATTGCCCTTTGAAAATAAATCTATTCCCTTTAATTTTTTTTCTCGAATTCACTATTTTCCATGACACAAAATATTGCAAGACTATATCCATATATTTTATAGTTAACTGTCACCTGTTACAAAATATTACAATAATAAATCAATTTGTTTTTAAAGTCACCTATCACGTGTTACAAAATATTACAAGAACAAACTTAATCTGTTTATTTTAGTTTTAAACCCACATCATCATCATCATCATCATCATCATCATCATCATCATCATCATCGTTCACTGGTAATGACTAACACAGAGCATCTAAACATACACGTGCTAGCTAACAACAGCTGGTTCACGATGCTCTTTTGGCCTAATAATTATCTACGGGTCATCAGATAACCACATGACGGTGTAAACAAAAGGGCTAAAAAAATATATTAGGTAAAAACAACAATAAGTGACAACACGTACAGACACAACTTATAAAATGAAGAAATTTGTATATGACAACAACAACAAAACAAACAGAGAGAGAGAGAGAGAGAGAGAGAGAGAGAGAGAGAGAGAGAGAGAGGGAGAGAGAGAGAGGAGGGAGGGAGAGAGGAGGAGGGAGTGGAGGGAGGAGGGAGGGAGGGAGGAGGGAGGGAGGGAGGGAGGAGGGAGGGAGGGAGGAGGGGAGAGGGAGAGGGAGAGGGAGAGGGAGAGGGAGAGGGAGGGAGAGGGAGGGAGAGAGAGGGAGAGAGAGAGAGATAACCGGGGTAGGAGGAGGTCTAAGGCTAACAACAGACACAACACACCAACTAATCATCACCAACGACCAACTAGTGATAAGAGAACCCAACTGACTTTGAGTCGACCGTTGCGTAGTATCTGGCGACCGGTGTTGGGCTGGTTGGTGGTGGTGGTGGTATGGTGGGTGTGGTGGTGGTGGTGGTGGTGGTAGGGTTGGTGGTGGTTGCCACCTACCTGACTCACCCTGCTAGGTTGCTGCGGCACATTCATATGGTAATAGTGGTGTTGCTGTTGTTGTTGCTGCTGTGCGGCCCGGGCCACCTCGCAGTAGGCTGAGTGCTGCCTGGGATAGTCCACACCGCTCGGGCCGCCACTTCCGGGCCGGGCAGAGTCCGACGGAGGCCCACTGGGGATCGGGGGTGAAGGCCCGCTCGACCCCCCCGAGGACGCCCTGGGTGGCTCTGGGTACACGTCTGGGAGGGTCTGGTGTGAGCGTGGGGACCTGGAGCGTGGCGAGTGTGAGATGGGTATGTCGTGGGTAGAATGGGCATGGCGTATCTCTCGGCCCTCGCTGCCCGCCCGCGCCCCTCGACACATTTCTTGGGCATTACTGCGTGACCTCCGTATATCGGCTATACTAGGAGCCAGACCGCCTACACTCCCAGCCCTCGCTAGGTCTAGGGCATTGCTCTGTGACCTGGTGATGTCCTGCTGCACCCCCCTCAAGTCGTGAGTGTGTCGGAAGTCCAAGGTGTTGGAGAACGGTCGCGAGAGCTCCTGCCCTAAAGAGTGTTGCCGCTGTAGACCAAACGGCCGCGATCGTGGGCGAGCGGTTGGTTCTGACGCCGCGCTGCCCGAAGTGCTGGTAGTGCCTTCTTTGCTGATGGACTGCTGACGGCGCAGACGACAGCCCTCGCCGTAAGTATGCTGCTCCTCGGCCTGTTCCTCCTCCTGTAGTGAGGCGTACATGTCGGGCACGGAGCGATGGTGTCGCAACATATCAGGGGCGCTGCTCATGTGATGCCGTGCCTCCAGGAGTGACGACGGCGCGAGGGGATCCCGCGGGCTAGCCACCTCCTGATGGGGTTCCAGCACCCCACGAGACTCCAAGTTGGCCCTGTGACGCTCTAACGTGTGACGGTCAATGGTGGAGCTGTGACGCACCAAGTGGTGAGAGTGCTGCTGCTGCTGCTGCTGCTGCTGCTGTTGTTGTTGTTGTTGTTGTTGTTGTTGTTGTTGTTGTTGTTGTTGTTGTTGCTGCTGCTGCTGCTGCTGTGGGTGGTGGTGATGATGGTGGTGATGGTGGTGTGGTGCATGAGGCATTAAAGGCGGCAGATCGCGGTACATGTCTGGAGCTTGAGCCCCGGACACGTGTCCCCGGGACCCGGCCAGGTCCTGCGGTGATGGGTGACGGAGGTAGGGGTCGTGGTGATGGGGATCGTGATGATGGTGTTCGTGGGATCGTGCCTGCAGTGAGGCTTCCGAGTAGCCCTCAGGGCCGTTGCCAAGGGAACGACACATGTCACCAGAGAAGGAGTGGAATGGGTCGTGTTGGGGCGGTCCGTGGCCGGCCAGGGATGTGTGAGGGCAGCTGGGGCTGTGGTGGAAGGTGTGGCCGCTGCTCGCTGGCCGGAAACTCTCCGCTGAGGAAGTACACACGTGGTACGACGGTAGACCCTGCCCGGCACCCGATCCGGAGCGGAAAGGGTCAGCCTGACTACCCGTGGCACCGGAGCCCCGGTAGGACTCGGCATGTGAGGTGGCAGGGCGGTAGAGGTCCATGCTGGTGGCGGGCCGGAAGTGTTCGAGGGCGACGTGCTGGCGGTAAGGAGGAGGGTGGTCACGGTAGTGCTCAGGGGGGCCGCCGTGGTACTCTCGGGGAAGCTCCATCGGGGGTTGGTTGCTGCGTCGCATCCCCCCTGCGGGCACGTCACTCCTGCCCCTCTTGTGGGTACTCCTGTTGCTCTACTGACCCGGGCGCGGGCTTATTTAACGTGAGTCTTGGCCCGTGACGTGCGTGAGGGTCTGGACGTGAGATACGCACGCCCCTGGGCGTTACTCGCCTTGGGTACGACAGATGATGGTCATGGCAAAACGCCCGCACGCTCACACCGGAGATTATAGGGATAGTAAGACTGGAACGATGGCGGGTATCACGCTGATGCGTGAAGCACACAGGTGCGGATCTCCAGGGGTGAGGAGCACACAGGTGTGGATCTCTGGGGGCGGGTAACACACAGGTGCAGGTCTTCGGGGGGAGGAGCACACAGATGTGGATCTCCGGAGGCGGGTAGCACACAGGTGCAGGTCTTCGGGGGGAGGAGCACACAGATGTGGATCTCCGGGGGCGGGTAGCACACAGGTGTGAATCTTCGGGGGCAGGTAACACACAGGTGCGGATCTCCGGGGGTGGGTAACACACAGGTGCGGGTCTCCGGGGGCGAGGAGCACACAGGTGCAGGTCTCCGGGGGCAGGGGGGAGGGAGGAGCAGGGTGGGCAGCGCGGCTATTGATCCATGGCGGAGGGCAGCTGGCACGAGGCTCACACCGCCGCCGCCAGGTGCCTCAGCCTCCCCGGGCAGGTGCCACGCTCACCTGCTGCCACGCTCACCTCCTCCTGCTGATGCTGATGTTCTTACTGCTGCTTCTGCTGCCCTCAGCCCACCACACCCGCCCACAGTCCTCACGCTCAGCGCCCACACTCGTCCCGACCATAGGGCAGCCCGAGAACTCGATAAATTCGATGCTTATATGTTTCTCTTTGAACTTTTTCTTATAAAGTTGAACACTTATAAAACACACTTGGAATTCGCACAACTCTTAAACTATTATTATCTAAACACACATTATCGAGTATAAAACACACAAAATATTTATATATATATTTAGAGAGAGATATCAAACACACACAAAAATCACTTTTCCAAAAAATAAGAATCGCTTGGATAACAACAACATCTTTCCCGGCCTAAGAGATATTTATCCATGGCTGCTAGTGCTGGTGCCAGGCACACACACACAGGCAGACAGGAGGGTCGCGGCCACCAGCTCCACGGCCCTCCGACTCCGGTAGAGCGAGTGTGATGCCCCTGGGACCCGGGGTAGAGCGCGGGGGGCACGAGGAGCGGCGGGGAGGCAGGTGGCGTGGGGCTGCCTGACACGTACTGAGGCTGTGCTCCCGCCTGCCCTCCACCGTCCTCACCCAGCCTCCCCGGATGCCGCCACTCTCCCACAACTCTCCTTATACTTCCACTATTACCTCCTCTAATCAATACGAGGCAACACTATGAGCCATTTCGCTACCGTGTATCAAGCACAAGTTGCAGGCGGCGTTACCGGAGGAGTCCTGGCCACTGTGACATGAGGGAAACACACAAAGTGGCAACGTGGCGCGGAGGCTGCGCGCATGCGCCCCAGTATCTTTTTCCCTCCCTAATGCTCACGGCAAAGTCGGTGACAATCGCGCGACCTCATTAAAAATGACCTTGTTTTTTTTTTAAACTACCAAAGATGTGGTAGATATGTATATGGTGGTGTCATGTGAGGGCAGGGGTGAAGGGTGAGGGTGTGGTGGGAGAGAGCGAGGTGGCCACTACGGGCTGGATGCTGCACCTCCACAAGAGCAGCCGTCCCGCCTCCCCTCCGCCACCCTCCGCTCCCGGGAACAGAATGAACCCACGATGGATGGACGGCCCATGTTTTACGCGTACAAATGAAACAAGCATAGTTTCCCTATCAGGACGGTGGCCGCTACTAATCGATGTGTCTCACAGGCGCGTCAACCGCCGTATCCTTTCTACCTCTCACTCGGACATCCGGACACACCACAACCACCATCACCACCACCACGATGAAACACACAGTAAAATAAAAAAGAAAAACAGGAAAAATAGAACGAATAGTAGTAATTCTCGTAACAGTTGGGACACACACACACACACACACACACACACACACACACACACACCTATATACCTCAACACAACGAAACTATTACCGTAAACACAAAAAACATAAAACTAAAACCCAGGAATGAAGGCAGAGCGAGAATAAGTTGACTTGCATCACTCGTATAGTTATGGCGGTGTGGCAGCCCTGGCCCGGGGAGATTCCAGCAACCTGGTGTTTGTTTGGGTATGTCCATGAACGAACCGGCACACACACACACACACACACACACACACACACACACACACACACACACACACACACACACACACACACACACACACACACACACTTACAAAACCACAATAACAAGAGAATAAAACCAACTCTAACATCACCTCCTGAAGCACAGTAACAACACAACCAACATATTATACAAAATATAATAATTAACGAAGAAAAAGAAGAAAAAAATAAAAGAGAGAATTCAACGAGGAACGAGATTAAAATTCTTTTTTTAATTGCTTGGCCACAATCACCCAGAGAGAGAGAGAGATGAAGAAACTAATAAAAAAAAATACACGAAACCATGAATACTAAACACAATGAAATTAACTTCAATGAAAAAAAAATAAACAGAACGGTGAGTTAGAGAAGAGACAAACAAATGGCAATAAGAAATAAATAAAAAATGTTGATAGTTATTATTATTTTTTTACACTTGAGACGATAACTTGAAAGACAATCGAATTTAATGTTGGTAGTGTGGTAGGGATGAAGAGCTTAGTACAGTAACCTAAAACATCTTAAACACACAGGTCACCCTTAAAACACCTTAAACACACAGGTCACCCTTAAAACACCTTAAACACACAGGTCACCCTTAAAACACCTTAAACACACAGGTCACCCTTAAAACACCTTAAACACACAGGTCACCCTTAAAACACCTTAAACACACAGGTCACCCTTAAAACACCTTAAACACACAGGTCACCCTCAACAAACCTTAAACACACAGGTAAAATGGCATCAAACACAACTTAATTAATATTCCAGACGGTACAACATACAGGTAAGATTGACCATCTCTAAGTGTGCTGTGGATGGTTGACGGATGGATGGAAGGATAGACGGAGAGAACGACGCACGGACGGATAGACAGATAGACAGTGGGACTAATCAAACACTATATACTCCCCTACTGCATCCGTGGGGGGGATAAGCATTAACTGGTGTAAGAAATGAAGGAAGAATAGAAAGAGGTGAAGGGAAAGAAGTGAAGGGAAAGAAGTGAAGGGAAAGAAGTGAAGGGAAAGAAGTGAAGGGAAAGAAGTGAAGGGAAGGTTCATATAGCGATAATATGGGAGAGTCACTCGCTCTGGAAACTCGCTGGGGTCACTCATTAGGGTATCTCACTCCTGTCACTCGCTCTGGAAACTCGCTATGGAAACTCACACGGTCACTCATTGGGGTCACACGTTGGATTCACACGCTAGGGTATCTCACTCAGGTCACTCGTTGGGGTTACTCGCTGGGGTCACTCGTTAGGGTTACTCGCTGGGGTCACTCGTTAGGGTTACTTGCTGGGGTCACTCGTTAGGGTTAGGATACAGCCTCGTGGTAAGTGATGGTTCATACCTCAAACCTTCCAGTCTTTACGCAATGGTTTTAACGAGAGGAATTCACGTATTCATATGATCGTGTATACATGGGAGGTATTCATATGAACGTGTATACATGGGAGGTATTCATATGATCGTGTATACATGGGAGGTATTCATATGATCGTGTATACATGGGAGGCTTTCATATGATCGTGTATACATGGGAGGTATTCATATGAACGTGTATACATGGCAGGTATTCATATGATCGTGCATACATGGGAGGTATTCATATAATCGTGTATACATGGGAGGTATTCATATGATCGTGTATACATGGCAGGTATTCATATGATCGTGTATACATGGCAGGTATTCATATGATCATGTATACATGGGAGGTATTCATATGATCGTGTATACATAGCAGATACATCCTACAAAGGCATTCCTCAGTATTTACCCACAACAAACTTTTTATAATTAACTCAAATTCCAAATTGTTTACTCATCAAGGAACAGCTCTCTGCCTTAACCTAAAAAAAAGATGCGTACTTTCTCAATAACATAAGTTCCAAAAACTTTCAAAATATTAACCACAATCCTGAGCATTTACTCATTAATATCATATATATACTTTTTTTCCAAGACATTTACTGACATTCGGCCGAGTTTTACAATTTTTAATCCATTATAGAAATAGGTTTGAGCGGAAGTTGAGTGACATCAAATTGACATGGGCGGATATAGCTCAGGAATTTCCCTGGCTGGTGGGGAAACACGGTCAGTATTTATCCCCACCAGATACTGACAACGGCACTCGCTTTTACCCCGCTGCCATGACACTGGTTCATTTCTGCCCGCCTGCCCGCCCGCCCCCCTATGACGTATTTTGTGACTTTCTTCCCTACCACTATAACCTTTTTCCTTCATTTTTCCCCGCCACTATGACAAACTTTGTTATTTTCTTCCCTACCACTATAACCTTTTTGCTTCATTTCTCCCTCAATATCTCCCTATCATGAGAAGTTTCACCTTTTAAACCACCATGATAAACATAACCCGCCCCCCCCACCCAGCACCTCCTCTTTTCTCCCTCACCACCACAATCCTCCATCACCATAACCACACATACAACCACACCTCACCACCACATCCAACTACCACCACTACCACAATCAACAACCATCACACTTGCTTTTAAATAACGAAAGACTTAAAATGAAAGCATCAAGACTAAAAACTGGTCATAAGCTGCGTTAGTGAGGCGTTGAACGAGCTGAATAACGTAACTAATGAATATACGAACATCCTTAACTAATTAACGTACGGTAAATATACTACAGACATACACACATTCAATCACAATATACTAAAATACACACATTCAATCGCAATACATTAACAATTATACAATACTAATAATAATGGTTTCTCGTACTGTGTCCAGACGAGAAAGTCAGATGTCAGAGTCAGATTTGCCCCGCCAGAGGGCTTACAGCGCCCAACAGGAGGGGGGAGGGGGGGGGTGGAGTTAATGGTGGCTTTCTTTGACTCATGAGATTAAGGACATAAGTGCCTGAAGGTCTGTCGGCTGAGTGTGTAGAGAAAGAGCTCCCGATATAATTCATCTGTTTATAGCAAAGATACTTCTGACCTCTGACTGTGGCTTTGACCTTTGAC